CTATATATACTCGCATATTTCTTTAATTGGAAATTTCTGCGTGTTTTTGCTCTAACGAAGGCCGCGCAGCTATCCAACTGTTTTGAAATTCACTGTGAATTGCTGCCTGATGGGAGGACATGCATTCCATCGCGCATTCAAAGCTTAGACAAAATTTCAAAGCACACTAACAAAGACAGGACTATGATCTGGAGTGGAAATTGAGAACGCAGTTAATGTGTTAGACTTCTAGGGTTTCTACCGGAAAAGATGGACAAATTTGGAAAGCGTTATTTGTTTATAGCCATTTTGGGGGCAGTGCCTCTCCGACGTTTGAGAGTCTCTGCACCACAAAATGCAAATTTTTAGTATTATAGTTGTTTGTATAATTTGGGACTTAATTTGGGACTTTATTAGTCCTGTTGTCTGTGCCTTCAATTTCTTATTGTAAAACTAATAAAAAAAAATAATGGTAAATTTAAAGTTAAACTTTCAGAAGTCGCTTTTCACGTTGTACGTTGTTTGAATTGTCTAGAATCTTTCACGAGCTAGGGCAGACAATACCCCCCAAAATGGCGGATTTTGGCCATCGTGAGAAGTGTTAATTCACAACTTTAGACTCACATGCCTATAGTTACTTTAATAAAACACAAACTGAATAGACACTCCGAAATTTCTAAACATTCCCATACTTTACGTTTCGACTACTAATCTAAGTCATCTTCAGAAGAACCATTCTTCTACTATTATTCATCATCCTAGTTACTATAATTCTAGTTTACAGAAGCACGGAATAGAACAAAGGTAACTCAAGCTTTTAGAATTATCTACATGAGTGAAGAACTCTTGTACATAATTCTAATTCGTAGTTACCTTACCATTCGTAGTTTTACAGCTTTTCAAGCATTTGCAACGGCTGAAACAACTTACGCCAGTATTCCAAAAGCTCACTCCCACTCAATGAGTGGAGGTTCAATCTGAGCTTTTCTTAAGTGTCATGGCTGTTTTTGAATAGCTGGAGGGTTAGTGTCGTACCTTACTATGTGACTACTCACCCTCCAGCTACTCAAAAACAGCATTGACACTCAAGAAATGCCCAGATTGAACCTCCACTCATTGAGTGTGAGTGAGCTTTTAGAATACAGGCGTTAATGTGCTATCATCGTGACATCGTGATATCAGTTTTCAACAAATAGTCTGCCCGCGTTTGACCACACGTTTGATGGCCAATTTACACTACACATCTTTTGCCTAAAACTGTCGCATGCAACCTGTTTACAACTTGAGTTGTACTGTGTAAATCAAACATACAACTCATCTACGACAACGTAAGCGAGTTGTGTGATTTACACAGTGCAACTCAAGTTGTAAGCAGGTTGCATGCGACAGTTTTAGGCAAAAATTGTGTTGTGTAAATCGGCCTTAAGGGGCAAACTGCATGCATGGAGCGAGTTGGCTCGTTTAATCGAGTGGCACTTTTCTTTCATTTATTGTCTCTTATTTCAGACTGCCCCGCCTTTCCGAGCAAACTCGGTCACCCAAGTTGAAAATGTCACCATCTATAATTGATTTTTGCCGAGTTGTTGTGGAGTTGAAAAATATCAGACGCACTTAATTGTGAAAATATAAATAAATACTTTGGATTGATAGGGATACAATACCTGAAAAATGCAGGGAGAACATCGTCGACGTTCCGAGTGAAGGCCTTTGCAATTGTCGCTACTAACTTCCCAACGAAGGGCTTTCGCTCGAAACGTCGAAATTCTTCTTGTATACTTATCAGGTAGTTGCAACCTTATCAATCCGAAGCTACCCACATGTACGCAGCGCGTACCTATTTTTCTTTGTCTTGTGATTTCTCGGGTGGAATTAATTAGAAACGACAAAGAAAAATTCCACTACGAGCGCAAAATTCCGCCTGTAGTGGAAAACCGGCTTAAAACTGAGTATTTGACAAAGGATTAGATGTTCAATTTTATATTTCCTCAAACTAACAACTTAAGACTGGATCAAACGAGAGTGCATGAGAGTTGGTAGTCACGTGATCTTGGTCAGCTGTTCTTAATGTTTTCCCAACACTATCATGTATTCTATTTAAGTTAAAACTTAGTTGGAATATGATGTTGTGGTGTTACTCTGAGTGTATATCCACACCGCGGGCAAGCTTGAAAAATATGCCTGGCCACGGTGGGAATCGAACCTATTTTAGCCCAATGCTCTGCCAACCGAGCTACGCGGTCAGGTCGGTTCGAGTATGTGATATTTCGGAACTCGTTCCGAAATTCTAGTTCCTTCGATATCGATGTAATCTAGTAATCATGAATTTTTTCTGTGTTGGTATAATTGGGCTAGTATTCCAAAGGTCGTAGGTTCGATTCCCACTGTGGCCAGGCATATTTTTCAAGCTTGCCCGCGGTGTGCATATACACTCAGAGTAACATCACAAGCATCATATTCACCTGAGTATATTACACGAACACAGAAAAAAATCATAGTTGGAATTGTCATCGAACCTTTATTTTGTTAATCTAGAGCTTGAAATGTCGGCTGTAACAATTCGTGACTGCCAGCTCTCATCTTCATTTGACCATATAGTCCGTCAAGATATGAAGGTCTGGAAACACGGCAAACATCAAAGCTACAAAACAGAAGGCTTTTGTTTGATGTTGAACTGTTGTACCTCACTGTGCGCAAATCTTTTGATTAGGTTTTAGCGAGAGATTGCTTTTTGGTTTTGCAAGAATGAGAGAGAAATGATTTAATCAGTATAGACGGCTATATTGGCATTTTGATCGGAAAATGGCCGATGGCCAAATATTCAATACTGATTTAGTTCGTTACACAATTATGCTGAACAAATTTGACTGGCCCCATGAATTCAGACCACAGACCTATATAGTGATTCTCTAAGGCTTATTATATACTTTCGAATCTCTTGGGTGCTGTCGCATTTGTGACAACCATACACAAGTCTGTTTGATTGATAAGCCGGGCAGAATTTTCACGAAATCTTATAAAGTGGAAGAAATAAATGAATTCTGAAACCCCGGAAAACTGGAACATTGACACATTGTATTTTTTTTTCTAAAAATACTCTGATTAAACTTTTTCAGGTTAACCTAGGTATTGCGTACGTTGTAAATTTTCCTTGTATAAGACTACATTAGTCATTACAAACTAATAAAGATAAAGTATTTGTAATTTTTTCTTGATTGAAAAACTTTGTGTTGGAAACTTTGTTGGGACGATCCCGTAAACTGATGAGTTGCTCAATTGAATTTTATGGATAAAGCCAGGTTTACATATATAGTCGTAGCGGTCGTAAAGATAGAGTCAGATCATAATAGTTTTTTTTACCTGCAAACCATATATAAATCATAAGTATTCTCTATATTTATAATCACTCTCAGTTCTAAACTGTTGTATTTCGTCTGTTGAGAAAAATCGGGACTCAATCTTTACGATCATATGGAAACCAGGCTTAAACTCGAAAGAAGGCTTGTATCAGTTGTATGTTTAGCGCATGAAGATGAGATTATTACATTGAAAAAACATTTGACCTTGGGGAACATTAAAGTACTGTATTTCACAAAAACAAAGCTATATTTATACAATTTTTCTTTCTACAAAAACTTTCCATATATTTAGGTAAGTGGGGTTGTGCTATTATAATCTTTACTTGCAGCTGAGGGCTAAGCTGAATTGCGAAGGATGCAGCTCTGATCGAGTCGAAGGCTTTCCAAAGGCGCCATTGGTAGCCACCTTCTGACTCATGTCTGATCACAGAGCACAGCCTACGGTGGAAGGGACCGTTAGGGGTTAAGGTTACAGGACACGCTTTTTGGCGTTTTGCGGAAAATCGCTACTGCGCGCTCAATATCAGTCCGATTTTCATCAAATTTTCACCAAATGTTCGCCAGTGCATGCAAAATATGGTAAAGTTGTAAAATTAACAAACAATAAAATAATGTAAGAATTATTCAGGAAAATATTAAATCGCGGTACCTTTACGCTTTTGAGTTGTGCTCCTGCTGGTTTTAAGTTATATTTATGAAAATATCATTTTTATACAGTAAAATAGTTGTTCTAAAAAATTGTGTTCGGAAATTTTTGTTTATTTCGTCATTCCGCTGATATGGCGATTTCTTTGACGACTGCAATATATTTCTGAACTGTTTCAGTTACTTGCTCCTTATTTTCAAAATATCCAAAATTAAAAAAAAGCCGAACACAATTTTGAAACTGACACAATTTTGAAACTGATTTTGAGAAAAATTGGTTAAAACCCGAAGGAGCACAACTCATTTGAAAATCAGTAATTACCGTAAAATTTTTCGGGAGAAAATTGAATTTGAATATTACATTTTCAATGTTTTTCTTATTGCAGCGAAATGTATTTTATTAAATAACTCTGCGAGTTTTCAACATTTTTCGTTCAAACTTGGTCAGATAGTAGAACTAGTCTAATTCTTTCATTGAAACCAATAAAAAAATTTTAGGCAAAATTAACACTCAAAGGTGTTCTGTAACCTTAATCCCAACCCACCCTGTCAACTTTCCCTGTGGGAGGAAACCGGAGCACTCGGAGAAAACCCACGACTTTCGGTATAGAGCGTTGACCGACTCTTTTCACATAAGTGTCAAGAGTCCGCAGCGAGAATCTGAGCCACGATCCCAGAGGTGGAAGGCGCTTGCTCTGATCTGCGCCATCAACCTTGCCAAGGCCACAGAATAACAATTTAACCAGAAGTCGCACTCTCGACATATCAAAAAGCTGATTACACTTGTTTAGCCATCTGGAAACAAGTGCGTTGTATAAATTTGTATAGCTTGGCCGCGCTCGTTTCATATAGCTAAACAAGTGTAATGTGGAGGGTGGAGCTTCTCGTTAAATTGCTATTCTGTGCCAAGGCCGTCCGATTCCAATGTAATCTGATAAGGTGGTCAAGTGTGTTTTATTATCTCACTTCAGGGGTGATAATTAGGTTATTTGAACGGTATGGAGCATGAATTGCGCGCATCAAACAGAAGAAAACAGTGTAAATATAGCATACGGTGGCGCACGGGCTTTAATAAGAACGGGCGCGCGGTCCTTGCTATTTAGAATATAGTGCGCGCAGAAAGTGGAAAGCGTGAGAGAGTGCGCAAACCTACCATCATGAATCTTTCGCGAGCGTGTCATCGTGCGATGGTTTTAGTAGCGTTGATTGAAGTCCTTTTGGTGTTAGTTCCTGATCTCGCGTCAAGTGCGTCGTCGAGGTCGAAGAAGACGGCTAAAAAAAGCAAAAGTAATGAGGTCAGTCTTCTATAGTTTTGTTGAAATGGGAGGAAATTTACTCGGTTGAAGTGCACTGGTAACTTTATATTAGTAACGCTATATAGACTAATTTAATTGATAACTTTTGGCAAAGAGTAATCGATGAAACGGAAAAAATTCATGCTGAATTAAGGTCTCGCAAAACCGCATGTAAGACAAGTATGTGTGTCGTACATGTAATACGTTGCTAAGTAAATTGAAAGTACACCGAACAATTTATAACAGGAACACTTATGCTCAATATAAACACAAAGTTAATTGATGACTTGAGTAGGAGTACCTTACAAATCGCGGAAAATTCATAATGCAACGTCATGTCAGTGAAAAGCCAGCGATATATACAGTTCTGTTGAATTGATATACTAACTTTCTTTGTGAAAATACATCGCAAGATCTGACTCACTTGTAAACACTACATTTTAATTGATGCGTCGAGTATTAATGCTTATCAGTCTTCTTCACTTTGCCCCGGCTCCTATAGTTAAATTTTCGAATTGGTAATGCCTTATACTATCTTAAAATATACTGCCGCACAATGTACCACAGTTACAACATATAGACTTCTTTTTCGTCTTACATTATGAAAATTGTTGTACATTCACATTGTGAGTAATTCA